ACGACCTATTTTCGATGCTCATCTCTGTTCAAGTTGCTTCTTATTTTATTTCAAGACAAGTTGTCATATCAGTGAGTGAAGTCTGTTCTTGTGTGAAAGAAAACAAAACTATATTCATATTCGAAAACCAAACGCAGAAATCTGATTAGGAATAATTATATTGATGTTGAGTCAAATGATTCTGATTCAATTTTTCGTATTCTTCAAATTGTTTCGTTTGGTTTTTCTTCGATGCTGCGATTTCCTCTGGTTGTCCAGTGCTCATCTTGTCGAATGCTGAATCTTGAATTGCACACATATCGATGCAACATCGAACTTTTCGCAGTTGCATCTCCTATCGATTTTTCAATGTTGCTTGTTTTCGCTTTGTCTCAGTTAGTTCTTGTTGACAGTTTTGCTGCTCAGTCTCTCTCTTTAGTTTCATTTTCGTCAGTGCATTGGATCGTTTCACTTGTTCATCGTATGTTTTCGAGACTTTTCTTAACGATTTTTTTGCATTTTCAAGTGCAATATTTTTCGCGTCGAGGAGACTTTATTGCTTTGTTGATTATTTCGATTTCGTTTGATACTTTCATCGAGCTTGTTAGTATCAGTTTCAATATTGGTCATTTTTCTCTGGATACGATCTAGTTCAGTACGATTATGTTTCAGTTGCTCCTGATGATCCTTATCCTTCTGTTCGACTTTTGACTTTTCAGATCCTTTTCGATTGATTTTCGATTGTAAATTATCGAAATCCATTTGTTTATCATCACGAGAACGTTCATAGACCTTTTTTCTCCGTAATAGACGACTAATTTCATTCTGTTTCTGTTCCTTTTGCCGCTCTTGGCTCTCTAAGTCCATTATATTTCTCGCATGATTTTCATCAACTTTCACTTTTTGTCTCCGTATCTCCTGCAACGACTCTTGTTGTTCTGCTAGATCTGTTTCCAATTCCAAGACCGATTTACAAAGGAGGGGGTCGTTAAGACTGCGAATCGGCCCCCTCTCCAAAATCGGTTTCTAGTGTTCATAACTGTGAGTTGGAACTCGAGTAGTTGATTTCTATCAAAATCAGATCACTCCAGCTCATCTCAGATGCTCACCGTCGATTCTTGAAAAGTCACTTTTATGAGCAGTGTCTGTGTTCAGTATTTGGCTCGTTTCTTTTGCACTACAAGCATCTTTTGAGTCAATCTATACCTCATCTGAAAGCCCTTTCTTTTTTCTATCGAATGATATATGAAAGTGTAGTTGGCTGTTCTTCGTTCGCTTTTTTCTGTTGGCAACAATGTTCATGGTTGAGGTTTGTTGCTGTACCCTTCCTAGCAAACTCGACCTGCTGCGTTCTGTAAACAATATGGAACCATGACCGATTATACATCATTCGATAGCCCTTTGAAAGCTCTACACGAGGACGCTACAAAACCTGAGAATATTCGTGGGGAACAGACCTTTCTCTGGTCCGAAGTGTCGGCGAGAGTGATAAAGCTGCGTTTTGACTGCAATGCACAACCAATTCTCAGTGGAGAAGTGACATATCAGAAGGAAAGGGATTCAGATTCGGAATCAGCATGAAAAACTGAGTCGAAGAATGTCTCTCCCGAAAGTCGGCGACGACTTTCATTTTTCTTGACAACTTCACCCCTGGTACCCCTCAGGGACAGGCCCAAAGATGAACCCATCAGCAAACCTTCTCAGTTTGCAACTTCAGCGGGTTTTCCGATTGTTTTCTCTTCTCCAAGCTTACTGAGCTATTCTGAATAGTAAAAGAGCGCGATCTAAACAATCTCATTTTCGAACGTATGCCTGAGGGGTACCAGGGGTGAAGTTCTCGAGAAAAATGAAGGTCGTCGATGACTTTCGGGGGAGACACTCCCCGACTCAGTTTTTCATGCTGATTCCGAATCTGAGTCCCTTTCCTTCTGATATGTCACTTCTCCACTGAGAATCGGTCCTGCACTGTAGTAAAAATGCAGTTTTTTTACAGTCTCGCCGACACTCTGGACGAGAGAAAAGTCTGTTCCCCACGAATATTCTCAGGTTTTGTAGCGTCCTCGTGTAGAGCTTTCAAAGGGCTATCGAATGAGGTATAATCAGGCCGTGTTATACGCTGTTTACGGATCGCAGCAGGCCGAGTTTCCGAGGAGGGGTACAGTAAGAAACCTCAATCATGAACACTGTTGTCCACAGAAAAAAGCGAAAGAAGAACAACCAATGACACTTGAATTCATCATTCGATAGAGAAAAGAAAGGGCTTTCAGATGATGTATAGATCGACTTAAAAGATGCTTGTTGTGCAAAAGAAACGAACCAAATACTGTACACGGACAGTACTCATAAAAGTGACTTTTCGAGAATCGATCGTGAGCATCCGAGATGAGCTAAAATGGTCTGATTTTGATAGAAATCAACTACTCGAGTTCCAACTCACAGTTATGAACACTAGAAACCGATTTTGGAGAGGAGGCGGATTCCCAGTCTTAACGACGCCCCTCCTTTTTAAAACTCTCACATAATCTTGACATGTCAGTTGAAAGATTCATGAAACTAACGTTAATTACTTCGATGACGTGTTTGACGATTAAAGTATTTGATCGAAAGTCATGTGCCAAAAATACATTTAGATCTACAGAAGATCTCCTATTAGAATAGGAAAAACACCAATTAAAATTCTTTGTCACGATTTTGCATATGAGTAATACTATCGATGGTGTGAGAAAACTATGTCTGGTCACAAAAGAAATGAAAAGAATTTTGTTAAAATCCTCCTTATAGATGTTAAGGTTTACTAGTACAGCTATCGATCGTAATGAGTTCTAATGGTCGAACGTTCTCAGCACACTTTTTTCATCTTCACTCAAGCTCGATTATCAATTACAAATAATAAGTGTCGTGTAATTCCCTAGACTGAACGGATAGGGTCTGTCAAATGGTAAATATGTATTTTGTCCGTCTGTCTGTAACCTGTTTTTAAGACCACAGTTGGCCCAGTTGTCGGTTGATTCAGAGTGACGGTTCTTATTACGTCAGATCAAGCAGAATCTCTCTTCCTCTCTTGATTGATCGCTTTTGCGCCTTTTTCTCTCTTGCTCGCTCGGAGATCGTGTGCTGTGACTCATCGAACTTGATTGCCTTTCTCTTTGTGAAGAATGCGGTTTTGAAATCTCAATCCATCTCTTGCTCGATTGTTGGCTTTATTGCAATAGGTGATCTTGCTCGATCGTCTTTATATTTGACTAGCAGCATGTTTACGTAGCTCATACCGTTCGAAGTAGCTTTCCTAGTCTGAAAAGAAGGTTAAGATATTGAGAGTTGAAATCTTTTGCCGATCTCGAAAGGGGGAAAAGTCCATACTTATGAAGGTTCAATTGAAGTTGTCAGTGTAGAGACGAGTGAATCGGAAGCCGATGAACGTTACTTGTTATCAATCAACGACTAAATTAAGAATCTGAGTATGGTGGAGGCCAGATGAATACTTTTGATTGAACTGTACCAATCTTTGCACCGGCATCACCCTGCCATAGACCGATACATTGAAATCCATTTCTCACTTTGAAGTGATGGGATGCTAGATTGTTATGTGGCCAAATAATAACATCAGCATATATACCTGCTGCGCTGAATCTCTTCGCCAATATAGTTAAATTAGTAGCTACACTTTGACGGTGGTACTGAGCAGCGACACCTGTTTCCTGTAAATAACGAACGCCTGGTGCCTAGATAAATTGTAACCATTGGTCGTGATTAATCCCATTCGTCATTAGTTCAAGTTCTCCTATTTTGGGATCTAAGTAATATATGAAATTAGAAATCGGTGTTAATACTTGATAACCAGCTAATTTTTGTCGATTCTTATCAATTAAGCAAAGCAGCAAAGATTTTGAAGAAGATAAAATTTCTTTTAAACTTTCAAGAGACCATTCATGGATGAGAAAACCTTGTTCAAATCCATGATTTGATGCTTGTAACTTTTCCAGCAATAAATTCGATTGGCAGTCAATCACTTGTTGACAAATTTGATTGAATTCTCGGTGAAAAATATTGACAACGTAACCGATGAACGTCTCACTGAATTCTTGTCTATGTATCAACCCTTCTTTCGAGTCAGTTTCGAATAATGACGATAAAGACATGGTGTTGAGTTCGTAGTTTTATGAGACTGACACGAAAAATTCATTAGCACATGCTCTTTTCTCTCGATTTACAAAAAGGTAGATAAATATGACGTTTTTATTAGTCATTTCGAACCATAGACGAAAATTTACCGTTCTCACATCATCGTGCCGTTGAAAATGTTCCCTAGACCGAAAGAATAGGATCTGTCGAACGGTATTTATGTATTGTTTCGGTGTTTGGATCGATGACTGCTTTGTTCGTATCGGTAACGCTTTTGCCTGTAACACATTTTAAAAACCACAAGTAACGTTCATCGGCTTCCGATTCACTCGTCTCTAGACTGAAAATTGGGACATCACTCTCCGTTCCGTACTTTTGTCAAAACTGCCACTAAATGTCGTATTCATGCACATTTCTATAGAGTATAGGTACTTCATTCCAATACTTTGAGATTTCTATATCAATTGTGAAAACGTTCAATGTGATTATTTCCAGATCAAACTGCCAGACTCGACACGGTAATGCAATTGAGTGGAAAAAGAATTGGTTTGCTGATCTTCCTGATATAGGACAGGAAAAGAGACGGAGATAAAAGTTACGATGCTGATCAATGAGAAAAGAAGAACACTGCTGATTCGAGCAGTCGGACGAGTACAATGGTTAGTCGTCTTCCACAAGAAATGAATTAATTCCTGTCTCTTCATGTATGCTTCGGCGCACTTGAATGAAGCAATCTTCAAACGAATATTTCGTGTGTTCAACCAAGTCGAATATTCTGTTATGTCTTTATGGAAAGACTCTTTTCCCTCTCTATTTGATGAATAGTATTTAGAGTGTTTTTAGTTAACATGTGATTTTCATAGTTATTTTCACTACCTTGCTCAATCAGTTGGGATCGCTTGACTGCAATCGCTGCAATTCAGCTTTCATGTCAGGATGAGGTTTTTGATTCAGAATAGAACGAGGAAATGGTCTGAGGATCACCATCGCTTCTAAACTTGTAAAGCGTGATATTGGTACGTACGTCTGAGCAAGGTCAGGCTTGGCATAAGGTGGAGGTACAATATCGATCACACCAGATTCTAAGGTTTTGCCTTGGCACTTATACGTTGTCAATGCATAAGCAGGAATGATTGGTAATTGACAACGAGTGATGGTGATGGTTGTTTTGTTTTGTAACAATCTTTTTTGTGCAGAAGAGAAGCATGATTTAAGATCCACATTGATCGTTTTCTGTTCTGGCACAATGGGAATGAAAGTTGGTTGTAGATCGGTCAAACCGGATGCTAATTTGCATTGTGGTAACTGCACCAGTGCATACATTGGTTTTCGTCTGTAAACTGTGTTGGATGGAAATGTAGGATTACTGATTGCCGTAGTGTCATATGGTTGTTCTTCATCCTCATATACAACTTTCACTAGACGACCAATGGACCCATTTGAAATATGAAGTTCGGTGGCAATGTTGTGTGTAATCAATAATGGCATCTTGAGGGTGTGTTCACAAGACTATTCTCAGTCACTTACTAGAGGGGTGAGGGTGAGTTTCATAAGATTATTCCAAGCTTCTTACGACGATCGCTTCGAACAGGGCTTAATCTGTCCATCATCAGGTAAGTTTAGAATATACTCTGCATCAAATTAATTCTCAAATCAAATAGAAAATTATCGAAGTCAATGACTATCCAAGATAGAATGGAAGATGCTTAGAAGTCAGAAGATCGACACGACGTTTCGTCCTTTCTCAACGGTCTCATTAGGTATCTTAAGAATTCCTATTCCATTAATCAAAATCCTTCAGTCGTTTGAAAAAGTGATGATAGTCGTCATAATTCTTGATTCCTTGTTGTATGACTGTCCTGTTGTTGATTCGTTTCTGTCATTTGTCTTCGATTGACTATGAATTCTGTCTGTTTCTCTCCAATGTCTGTTCAACCGTGGACTGTTCTTGTTGATTGCTGGTTTAAAATTGAAGAATTACCTAACAAAATGGCAATCTCCTCCTCAGAATTTCAGCGACCAATCATCCTTTCTCAAAAAACTGACAGGATTCGTGCCTCAGTTCTGAATATTTGATCACACTCTTTCCTGTTTTGTCTGCTCATCTCTTCATCTTTGCCTCTCCTTCTCAGTTGCACAGGTCCGAAGTTCCACTTGGTTTCACTGCGCCCTTTGGTCGGCCTTCGGCCTCCCTCGAATTTCTTCATTCACTTTCTCTCCCTCTACCCGTTCTGTGCAAGGCACAACTCCAGAAGGCGTTCTCTCTTAATGCTGGTGCTCTCTCACTCTGACACTCACAACCTCAATAGGCACTCAGTAGGGTGCGGGTGTCACGAAAGGAGTGACCAGTCCCGCAGCTCACAGGAGTATATGGCATGGTGCGGCTGCCACGAAATCTTGATTGCATTCTGCTATCCTCAATGAGTCTTTTGCCCTGATCAAAAAAATGTCTCAAGGCGACCAAAATTGTCTATCTAGATGATAAGAGAAACGCTCAGAGATAGCAGTGAAACACGAATTTGAGACACAAAAAAGTAAATCCTGATGACTGATAGGGACGGTGCGGTTTTTTGTGAATCTTAGTTAACTGAATCTGTCTCTGTTTCTCGCTTTTCCTCTGTACTCGAACGTTGACTCGGGTCCCTGTTGATTTGTCGTCATTCAAAATTGAAGAATTCCTCCACAAAGTGGCAATCTCTTTGAAGAATTGTCCAGTTGACCAGAAGAATCATTCTTTCCTTGCGAGATGACATGATTTGTCCTTCCGCTATGATGATTTGTTCAGACTCTTTCCTGTTTTGTCTGGTCATTTCTTCATCTCTGTCTCTCATGCTCAGTTGTACAGTTCCAAAGTTCCATTTGGTTCCACTTCAGCCTCCCTCCAATTCTTTCATTCACTCTCTCTCTCTACGTGTTCTGTCCAAGACACAACTCCTTGTGGCGTTCTCTCTTCATGAGGGTGCTCTCCCACTCTGACACTCACTACCTCAATAGGCATATGGCATAGTGCGGGTGTCACGAAATCTTAATTCCTTGTTCTACAACTGTCCTGTTCTCAACCACTTTCCTTCTGATTTCTATTTCTGGCGTTGAGGTTGAGGGTGAGTTCATATAGGTCGTTTAGAATTCATGTTACGAACAACGATCGTTTCAGATGCAACTTAATCCATTCATCATCAGGCTTGTTTAGATTTTAATAGTGAAGATCGATCCAACACGTAGGATGGGATATCAACAAAATTCTCTTGGAATAAGGCATACTGAAGTGTACACTTGATTTCGTAACTTCAGAATCGATAACTTGGAAGATGATCAAGTACTTGATTTCATAATGATGATTATGCCTGGTTGTGATTGATGCTAGTCCAGTTGCTGCACCCTCAAGAGAGGTTCCTGATCTTTTGTCAGCATGCACAACAATGGATGTTTGGAGTTTGAGTGAAGTTGCGAACGCATTACGTGGCGCTGTTGGTACTTGTGTCAAATCGCGACTGGAGCCCTCCATCACAGCGACCGTCTGGTCACAGCTTCTCCCGCAATACATGAAGCAGCTTGTTAGATAGAGGCGCCACTTGACCGTTTGGTCGTTGCTACCCTCCACCATGCAACGACGCGGCGCATGTAGCAGGTGGTTACATAGAGGCCCCGCTTGACCGTCTGGTCGGAGCAGCGCTGCACCTTGTGAAACCACAGTTGGAGAGCGGCGTAACGACCGGCGCACTGCATTGCCGCGACCGTCCGGTCCCAGCTTGTGTCGGTTTCCATGACGCAGGTGGTTAGATAGAGGCGCCACTTGACCGTTTGGTCGTTGCTGCCCTCCACCATGCAACGACGCGGCGCATGTAGCAGGTGGTTACAATTAAACTAATTACGCAATACACGAAGCAGGTGGTTAGATGGATGGGCCACCTGACCGTCTGGTCGGAGCAGCTGTGCTTCTGCGGAAAGCACGCCGGTGGTTGGATAGAGGAGTCTTAATGCGCGTCATGGTTCCGAGAGAAGCTTATTCCAGGCTATACCAGATTACTCCAACACCAATCTTTACTTCCCCTGAGGAAGGTTTTGTGCTTAATAACATACCAAAACTGGTACCTATCAGCAAAGCAGATAATATACTTGAATTTGAAATAGCTTTAGACAAAGACCGGTGCAACTCGGGAAACGATTTTATACTACTTTAAGTACTAGAACCCAGGGCATATTTCCAAAACGTATGTCTTAGAGAATTAGTAGAAAGCGATACATTCGCTACATGTACAAGAACTGTAGCGAAATGGCGTTTTCGCATCGTGAGGATGAGACGCCGCATAAGGTGATTTAACTCGCGGAATAACTTTCAGACTTGGACAGCTCTCCAGCAAATTCAGCTCTCTGTTCCCTTATCTAAATAGGACTCATTTTCGCTAGTCACAAAGTTACAGTATCGGATTTTTAGACAAGTTTTGTTTTGAGACACATCACTTTCACAGATTAACTAAGAACAAAAAAGAATGAAAAGCAACAACTTTTGATATAAAAGCGTCTCTTAAAAGGAATGTTTCTTAAGATAGCTGAGACGCTGATTTCATCATGTTTTACCCGGTTTTTTCTTCAGGAACATAATGCAATCAGGATCAATCATTCACCTCAGACTCACTTTAGTTCTACATTGAAAAAGTTCAAAAAGCATATATAAACGGCTAAAAGTTCGAGTATAAAAGTATAGTCTACTTTAAGAAATAAAGTGCCTTATATAACAGGCACAATTATTCGTCTCGTTTAAAATGAGAAAAAAAACGTTAGTATCGTCAAACATACACGTGGCGTATCAATATATATATATATATGTATACCGGGTGTCCGGAAATTCATTGACCAAAAAGAAAATTAAATATCTCCACCATTTCTCGACCAAACTTCAAGGTTGTTTTCTTGTTTGATAGAGAAACGTTTCAATTTCTATTTCATACGATT